TTTCAAACCCTTGTCCCTTTCCTCCTCTCCTCCCCCTCCACCTCGCTTCCCCTCTCCCCTCATCCTCCTCCATTCTTACCTTCCTCGCCTCTTTCCTCTCCTCATCTTCCCTTCCTCCTCTCTCTCCACTTTGGTTGCCAACCTCCTTCCCTCCTCTTCTGCCACTAACCATGCCAACTTTCCTCCTCTCCTTTTTTTTCTCTTGGGTTAGACTGAAAGGTATTATAGTTATTTCATATAAAAAAAAAAGAAAACCAAAAAGTGTGACCGTGAGAGCATACAAGCAACTAAGATGGTCTACATAAAAAAGTAAGGTGATAGGCTGTATTTTGGGCATAAGCTCAGGTGGTTTTTATAAGATGTTCAATACAGATCATTTTAAAAGATCTAAGGTCCTTAATAATTGCAATTATTTTGGCTAGGTTGAAAAATCCAGAACACAAACAAATAGAGTATAAATATATTATCTTGAAAATTTTTATTATAAGTAAGATCCATATATAGCTATTGGTATATAATCTATCCTTAAAGTTTATTAGCCTCATAGGGCATCACATTGGGAAACTATTAGATTATTAAATTGTGTATGGTATGAAAATTAGGATACTATATCGTGAATTTGCGTAAATTAGAAGACCAATAGAGGATTACGATGAGAATCAAATTATTTATACAAATTACATTTTTTTGGTAGAAGGGTCTTGAGTTCATGTACTATTTATTGTAAACTGTACTTATTATGAATTGACCATATGGTATTGACTTTACTGATGTTAATTTTAATACTTTTGATTAATTATACAGGTATCTATAGACAATAAATTATTTTAATTTCTCACATCTATCTATATCTATACTATTATATAATGGAAATAATGAGGGCGGGTCAAAAATGGATGAAAGGTGGAAATTTACTACATTTCTATTGCATTTGAAAGGGTAGAATTGTAATTTTATAGAAGTACTTTTCCTCTCTTTTCTTGTCTTTTTCTCGTTTCTAGAACTTTCTAAAATGTTGACATGAGATTATTATTAAAACTTACTAATAACATATCTATTACATTGTATATTATAAGAGATATTAATATGAAATGACAAAGTTCATTTCCAAATAATGAATATAAACATACAATAAAAATAACAATTAGAATCGCAATATGTGCCAATGTATATATTATTGGAAGTGTGTAGCTAGATAGTTAGGCTAAAAGTAATTAAAATAAAAATTTGAATAGAAAATATAAGGAAAAAAATTTGACTCTTTGAAATAAAATTATGTAAAGGAAATTACGCCATCACTCAAATCAAAATTTTATCAGTCAATTGCAAATAAGATAAAAAGGATATAGCATATCAACTGAACAAACATCATGAAACCAGATGGATGGTTTGCTTTCAGGAGTAAAATTTGCCTTGCATTGAAAAAAATCAAACCGTGGGGACTTAGGCTCTGGTTGTCCATATGCTCAACACAGCACAATACCAAGAGTCATGGCATGGAATTGAATTCTGGACGGTCTGAGTTTCAAGGCCTGAACGAGAGCAAGCGAGGGTGGAAATAAACTCGCAATTGCAAAAGTTCAGCGCTGGTAGAAACACATGCCAGATTAATCTAAGGAGGGAGAAAGGCTTCATACCGGTACAATTCCTGCCGAACTTTCAGATGTCCTTTACAAATTCACAACAACACAAAACGCAGGTCGAGCGAGAAACAAAAGATCAAAAAGGAAAAGAGAAAATCCAAACCATTTACATGCCTACAGTTAAATTGCCTCATCACAATTATACTTTCTCACACAAAGATTTAAGTGACTACAGATGTGCCAAATTATATTTCGAATTCATATGGAAGTTTGGAAAACAGGTGGGGGAAAATATACATATTGGTACGTTGCAAGCACCCGCATTGCTCCCATCAATCTTTAAAAATTTCATCATCCTTCATATATTTCTCTTGCACTGCAGCTGTTGTAAGAGGCCTTGTTAAGGAGTACATGGAGATGTTTTTAGCTCGAATAATACAATTTCCTAACCCTGAAATATGAAAGAAAGCACGGCAGAAAAAGGACGAGAAATGTTTTGGGGTTTCATTTAAACCCCAAAACATTCTTACCAGGCTGGTTTAATTGATCGTTCGTTCTTTAAATCAAATTGTTATTGTAGCAATAGAAACAGAACTGCACTTTGAGTGCATAACCTAAAATTCAAGGTTATCCTAGAATGTTCAAATATTATCAACACTCATCCTTTTCTTGAATGTTGACTCTTTAGCCTGTAGCCAACCAACGTGACCACAAAATAAGTAGTCATCTAACAGATCCAAGATCAAATTTGACGTTCACAAAACAGACAGATAAATTTTATGGACATAAATTTTGCATTTACTTTATATTTTAGACCCATAACCATGTTGCACTTGTATGACTTAACAAGGAAAAATGTCAAATGTGGAACATGTATACATAATTCAGAGGACTAAATACAATTCTGTTACAAATGAAAAACAAGGAAATCCTAGATTTATTTGAATAATCCTAAAGTTCCTTCCACTGCACAAAAATCCTATGTTAACAGTGAAAGTTACAATTTTATACTCACACATCTCCTCATGGGTTGAGTGCCCTTCTTATGGGCTATTTATGCAACAATAGGTTGTGAATTATCATTCATAATTGGTAAATTTTGGAATAATTTATTGGTGATATATGTCAGGATGAAGTACTAATAGTTGATAATAAAGTTGAAAAAGTGAAAAGAAGAACATAGAAAAGGATATCTGTAGTAATCCCAGTCAAGAGGAGCAGCTGCAATTTTGCTGAACTCCACAACACTCCCCTCTATGCCGGCAAATATATATCCATTGCTTTTATCTATAAGCTTCACAAGATTTCCAACACTTTCTTTGTCCTGAGGAGTAATAAATTTAAGCCAACATACATTCATGAAAAAAGAAAAGACCCGTAAAATCAACAGAAAATAAGGAAGAAAGTAACCTGAATATCTAAAGTTGAGAAGTTAACGAGGCTAAAATCTTCAATGACATCACATAACTCCTTTGTTAATTTCCTGCAATGACAACCAGACAGTTAAAAAGAAAACCATGTTGATAATGATTGACACATCATTGAAAAAACGAAAACAAGGCACAGGAAAAGACTTAATCAAGTTGATAAATCAGAGATTAACAGAATATTCATCACTTTATCAGCGCTATCATGAACCATGAAATACGATGTATCAAGTTTGTCAAGGAAAACAATGCTATGCTGGGAATAGAGGTTGATGTTAGGTTCTGGATCTTTACAAAAGAACAAAAGAAGAGAAATGGATCAGGCAGTAAGAAATTGAACGGATAAATTCCTAACTAGCTATTCAGAGGATTCTGACTAGACGCAATAATTCCGATACTCGTCTATTTTGATTTATAAGCATTTCTCAGATAATATTGAGAACAGGTGATTAAACATTTTTATCAAAAAAGCAAATAACAGGTGGAAAGATGAGGAAACAATGAAATAGTTGTAGATACATCAGAAGTGGTAATTTCATATCAGATTCAACATCATTCTGTGTCTTTGTAGATCGTGCTTCATCAACGGAGCTGGATAAACTGACAATTTGTCTTCATTAGCAAGATATACTTAGTAAAAAAATGTTTATTTATTAACTAAAAAACAAAATTAAGAGAATCTTCATTAATAATATTCAGCACACTTATAAATTGCTAAAAGAAGGGGACTCCCACAATAAAGGGGGGGAAAAGAAAATTGACCAACAGGATTTTAAATACACGGAACAACGATCCATCCTTCTATAAGTTGCTTGTATAGAATAATGCAATAAAATCAGATTAATCCATAAGGGAAAATTATAACATGAAAATGCATACCTATACTTTGCTGACCGAGGATCTTGATCAAGATGCTGCTGCAAATAAGACAGATCTAGAACATCTGTATAAAAGTCAAGATTGAACGCTGCAACGGGCAAAATGGAAAAGCAGTTAAAATGAGGAAAATTCACTTAATAGTAGTGGCGAAATCATACATTGATATCAAATAACACCAACTGTGGACCATACCCAACTTTCCATAGCTCTCAATTAGATCAATCTTTGATAGAACATTGATGTGAGGGAGTTCCAAATGAAGCATAGTTGACAGTGAGAGAAGCAATGCGCTGATGTATTTTCCAGGATCGCAACATAGATGGGCATCAATTAAGTGAACGGCAGTCAACTAAACATCATAACAGGTGATCAGTGAATCTAGACTATCTAGTACAAATGTGCTATAATATACCAAACCCCAAAAAAAAAAATCTTGTTATATGAGAGCCCTAATACTATTGCCTTATAATCACTTGAATTCAATGACCATACCCTGAGATTCATTGCCTTGATGAGCTTAGAAATAACATTCCTTGCATTTGCATGAAGGAAGAAGAGCTCAACCTGGCCAGGAAAATCAAATAGAAGGTAGTGATCTGCAGCAACAGGAGAAAATAGTTAAGGGCATTACTGGTAATAGCTTTAAAATTTACAACTATAACTGCAGCCTTGTACATGAGAAAATGATATGCTATTTGTTGTGAAAAATAACAAAAATGAGGAAATCGTATAAAACTACTTTAAAGTGTTGAGATATTTCGCAATGGATAGTAAAAAAACATTATGGAGAACAAAGTCTCTGGGACGGCTGAAGCATATATTGTGGTGAATTAGCTTGTATGCAGTTTGCATAAGGAGACATAATAGATAGTCAGTAAAGGCCACACTTCCACCATTTTCACAGATTAAATATTGAGCATATATATGTTTATTGTTCAGTTCTTTTTAAAATAAATCATATTTATATGTAAGAAAGTATTCTAAACTTTAACATGTAAAACGATTATGATGCTGAAACCAACTATCGTCGTATACATAAGTTATGGAAGTCCTGTAACTAAAACGTTTAAAAGAAAAAGGTAATGCCTACCTTTGATTAGAGGTTTCAACTTCGCCTGCAGCCAATCAATGTTTTTCTCCAAGTAATCCATGCAATAAACAAGGCCTGGTTGGTACGTTTACTGGGAAGTTAGTAACATATTATGCATAATAAGATCCATCCACGTAAGGCAGTAATAAACCCACTGGAGAACTAAAATTACTAGTACAACAATGCAAAGGTAGCAATACTAACCTCCATTGGGTCCAAGAGAATGCTCAGCCATCACATCCTCGAGTTTTATAAGATCCTCGATATTCACAGCACACTCATATCTATTTATTGCGTAAAGTAAAGGAAAGCTGGGCGTTTCTATAAGATTGCTACTTTCCATTATTAAACCGTAAAACAACTTTGGTAGGAAAAGGATACGGTAGTGCGTCATTTGCAGGATCTAAATTAATCACGGCCACTTTTCTGTAAGCAAAGATCAAAACTCAGCTTTCATATTCGCAATGTAACAAAATATTGTAATTAAAGAACAGATTCCTGGGACAGTAAATGGTTGGCAAGAATTTTAACCAAAAAATAAGAACATGCAAAAATGAGAAAAAAAAATAAAACGGTATTATCCTAGGTTGTCAGCAAGAACTGTATATTTTCTTATCTCCAATCAGGAGAACAGTGTAGTATAATGTTATAGTGTGCTGGAGCAAAAAATTGACACAAACATAAATTCCTATAAAGTGTGTCATTGTCTAAGGAGATACATGCAGAATTTAAACATGAAATATAATCTCATTTTTGACAAAAACCTTTTACCTTCGACATATGCTAAATAAATTCAAAGGCTACAATAACACAAAAAAATGTTAATGATGTATATCAAGATGTGCTTAACTCTTAAAATTGCATCAGTTGCAGAATGTGATGATTCCATCTTCAGTGCAATTAAACTCAGGCCAAGTTTGTTAATGGCTTGCCAGAACCAGAATTCCGACCAAACATGGCCCAAATTAAAGCCAAATTGATCAGAGTTAAACCCATATTGTTGCACCAATCGTCTCAACATAAAGCAAAGATGATAATTGTCCATTACCCAAATAAATATGATAAACAACTGGAAATTCCAGTATTTGTTTGTTCAAAAGTATTTAGATGGGCTGATTCAGGTCACAGTTACGAAAGTTCATTCAAAATTTTTTATGGGAATTCTAGATATCATGGATATTCAACAACTACTACTAGTCTTATCATGCTAAAGTAGATAAAAATAAATAAATAAAAATTGGATTCTGTAATCGGAGAAACAAAATATAGAAAAGGGGAGAACCTGCCGATGAGCTGGAGGAACTGCGACATTCCATTACAGTACGTTGTCTTGCCGGAGCCCGGAGGTCCGATCACCACCTGACCAAAAACCATCTTTTATCCTTAAAAACCCTGATTTCTTTCAGGGTTTGGTAAAACCCTAATCGAGAATTATGGGGCAGAGAGAGCAGAGGGGGCGACGGCTCTGGAGTTCTGAATAAAAAGGGATTTTGTTTATAACCCCAAAGTTCTGATGCCATTTGTATAAAGGCTTATTTTCACTTTGGTGCCCCAAAAGTTTGCCGTATTTACACGTTCACGCCCCCTAAATATTTTGTGACGCTTTGATACCCTAAAGTTTTAGTTTCATTACCCCTTTGATACCTAAAGGTAACTATTTAAACTTTGACCCGCCAAAGGTTGTAACTTGCAAGCACATTTCATTTTTATGCCCCGTCCAAATTCTATTAGATTTTATGTTTAAACTATATCATACGCTTACCCATAATACATTTAAATTCATTTTTTTTTCCCGTTACTAAATATGTGGTACAATTTTAACAGAAAATCTAGTAGGGTTTAAACAAGAGTATCAATGTGAAAAGAGATTGAAACTTTGAAATATCAAAGTGTTAAAGAAATACCTTATGGTACCAAAGTGAAATGGGATTGAAATTTTTGGAGTACTAGTTGAGATGCACGTACAATGCACGTGGTTGAATATCATGAGTTGAGATGCACGTGTAATGCACGTGGTTGAATATCATGATTATTTAAATTAATAAAAATATAGTAAAAATAAAAAAAATAAAGTTTTTATGGGATTGATCATCAACTCAATAATCTCTCTCTCAAATAAATTATTATCATTATTTCCTTCAATCCAGACTGTGGCTACGCGATCTACTATTTATGAGTTATAAACACATTAATTTAATACAACATATCTATTTATTAGGATCTTGGAGTCTTCAAAAGTTGGATGATCATTCAATTCGCAAAAGAATTTTGCATATGAATTTACTTACAATATGTCCACTAAACTTTTAGTTGTGGTTTGACTCATATTCATGTTAACTTTTAGTTGATGTTTCACTTATATTTATATTATATAATACTCTCATTCAATTTTATAGCTCATTCTTTGTATTATAGAAGTAAAACTGAAAGTATGAAGAATTATTTTCTTACGAAATTAGAATAGAAAGATTATGATATATTTCGCCATGTGCTCTAAATATAATTTTTTTTCTTTGATGCAAGGTCCTTCAAATCTTATCCTAAATGATGTGAATGAAAAATACTATTATAACTCACTTGCCTATGGCAATTATATTGTATATAGGATACATAACTCATCTAGAATATCAATATCTCCTAAGTGGATTTTACTGTTATGAGAGCAACATGTTAGAAGCTCGTATTCAAACTTTTTGGCTCTATAAAAGACACAAGAATTTAGAGTGCATAGCTTATATATCGTAAAGAGCATATCGATACATGAAGAATTTTTTCTAATAATGATATTATTACAATGTTATTACTATTTAATATTAAATTAATTTTATTATATTAGATTATACGACCCTTTTTAATAAATTATAAAGTATATACATATAGAAACCTTGATGCTTATAGCCAGTAGTTGGGCTCCACAAAATAAGTTAACTTTATATTGTAGTTTCCTATTGTAGTTTGCTATTTATAGTATTGCTGGCAATACCATTACCTTTCTTCTTTATCTTATTATTTACATTTTTCTTATGTAAGATCTCTTTTGCTAATCATTCAATTGGTTATATTCAATTTTTATAATATCAGAGGTTAGAATATTCTCTTCTATTTAAAAAGTATTGACATGATTTTTTAAAAAATATATACATATAGTAACAATAGCATATACTTCAGTGCAACTCAAACATTGACTTGAAACCATTTAGAGTGAGGTCCTTTCTATGCAAAATTGGTGATATAGTGATTACACACTCTATAGAAAATAATGTATATATCTTCATAAAAATTTCATAATGAGTGACCAACTACAATCATCCTAACTTAAGCATAAATAATTATTATTTTAGTTAGTAATTTAATACACATGACTATAGAATAAATCTTCAGTAAAAAAATGAACTAAGATTGTATTATGCTCTAGGTAAATAAATAAATGTTATTAGAGCTCATCTTTATATTAAATTTAAAAGTAATAATTTAAATTATTAAGCACTAAATGTTAGCTCATGTGAGAAAGTAAACTAAGCTATGGTCTATATACGTATATAGTCAATCAATCAAACGTATTAAAATTATAATGATCACAGTCAAAATTATATGGTGGATTCACATTAAATATAATTTGTAAAAAATAATACATTAAAGTCAAAATCTTTTTAACCACTATATAGACTGTATAAATTTTTTTACATATATAAACTATACTACCTAGGAATAGTGATGTGCACACTTAACTATGGTCTAATAATCTTAAGAATGGCTTATTCTTTAATATCATTATTAATTAATGTATATGTGCATTACACCGAAAATAATGAAAATTTAGAAAACTACAAAATAAACACCCTAAAAAGTTTTAAAAAGTATAAAAAAACACCCTAAAATTTATAATTTATAGATACACAAAACTATTAAACATTACATTCGTATCAAGGAATTACAAAAAAAAATCATTGAAAATTTTTAAACTTTGGAGGGGTAATTTGCAATGTACTAAATTTTAAGGGTATTTTTTATAAATTTTTAAATTTATAGATTTTTAATTAATTATGTTCTTTTCAAAAAAGTTATGGGTAATATTTACCATGAAAAGTTTTTTCTGAACCTATACTTTTAAAAGGTGTATGATATTTTTTATAAAATTTTAATTTTCTAGGGGTTATTAGTAATTTTACATATTCATTTTAGTATCTATAGGTAAAAAATTCTCATAGAGTTTTTTTTTGTAAATTATGAATTTTAAGAATTTTTTGTAATTTTTTAAACTTATAGGCCTTTTCTACAGATTATAAATTTTTTATAGACTATTAATACTTCCTATGCTTTCAATTTATTAATGAATTTAAAAATTTCAGAGTGTTTTTATAAATTTTGAATTTTAAAGAATTGTTTGTAATTTTTAAAACTTTAAGGGTGTTTTTTTATAAATTATAAATTATGTAGGGGATATTTATAATTCCTATATTTTTAATGTACTGTTAGGTCAGAAATTATCAGGATTTTATAAATTTTATAATTTTTAGGGTGTTATTTTATAATTTGTAAAAAGTTTAGAGTGTGTGTTGCAAATTCCATAAAATTTTAGGGGTTGTTCGTATTATTTGTAGGTTTCTAGTATGTTTATAAGTTTGACATTTTTAAGGTGTTTTTTATAAATTTTAATTTTTAGGGGTGATTTTATAATTTTTAAAACTTACAAGATATTTTTTCCAAAGTTAAAAAACTTTTAGTTTCTAGTTAGCATATATTTTTCGGATATCTCACTGAATTGAGATAAGTAAAATTTATAATATTCAAGATGTTTTAATACAATTTTGAATTTGTAAGGGTGTTTTTGTAATTTAAAAAACTTGGAGAATATTTCTACAAGTCCAAAAACTTTTAAGTGCTGGAGTATATGTTTTTTAGATTTCTCTGTGAACTGAAATAAGTAAAGGATTTGAATTATATGAAACATATCTATTTTATCCAATAACATGTTAAATCTCATTATGAATAGAATAAATCATTTGGTTACCAATTCAAAAAAGATAAGATAATTAAAAAAGATTAGGATAATAATGTAATATTCTAAAAAATCAAAGGGTAATATTGACCATATAAAGATTTTTCCAAACTCGTACTTTTAAAGGGAGTATGATTAAAGTGTTAAAAGAATAGGGTTACTTTTAGAAAACTCTCTTCAACTATAGGGGTCGTCTCATAAAACCCGTCTTAGCTATTTTAACTCTAGAACAACCCCCTCAATTATGGAGATACTATAGAACCCCCCAGCCCAATTTTAACAATATAGTTATCTCACCTTAACTTTTCTCACTTAACCCCCTAATCTAACATAATTTAAATCTTAAAGAAATAAATGATTTAAAATGACCAAATTATCCCTAAAGCATTTATTTTTTTACCATATTGTTCATTTTTAACTCTTTTTTGTTAAAAATATATTCCATTTTATTTCCCTTCTCTTCTTGTTCCTCCATTTTCATTGCTAGGTTTACGTGCAAATCTAATTTTTTTTCCTTTCTATTTTGAAATACTAGACTTCTTTTATTTTTTGTTTATTCATGCTTGTAATGTTTGAAACAATTGAAACTTTTAATTTTTTATAATATTAGTTTCGCCATCAAAACCCATCGAACCGAAACCTAATATTTTAATTGGGTTGGGTTTTTAAACTCACATAAAAATTTTTCAACCAAGGGTATTTTAGTCATTGCACAGTTCAAATTAAAATATTATGGGAGTTATTTGGGAAAACTATAAAGATAAAGGGGGTTTTGTGATACACCCCATAGTTAAGGCGTTTAATCATATTTTGAAAGTTGAGGGGTGTTATCTACAACACCCTAAAAT